GTTAGGAAGAATTGATGTCTTAATAATATGGAGTCTTCCAATCCATGAACTTGAAGCATCTCTCCATTTATTTAGACCTCCTTTGATATTTTTCACCACAGTTTGTAGTTTTCCTCATAGAGGTCAAGTATATAGTTTGTTATATTTATACTTATTTCATTGTTTGAGTGCTATTTTAAGTGGTACTTTTTAAATTCAAATTTGAATTTTTTACTGTATATAGAAATGTAATTGACTTTGCATATTAACCTTGAATTCTGCAACCTCATTAGTTCCAAGAGTTTTTTGTCAATTCCCTAGGGTAGACAATCATGACACCTGTGGTTTCATTTCTTCCTTTCCAACATATATAACTTTTGTTTTCTTCCATGCATTTGTTAGATTAAGTGGAAAATAAGAATTAAGGCTGTGAATAGAACTCAGGTTGGTAATTAGCTGACCTTGAGATAATCCTGCTTTTGAAGATAAAGAAAAGGGGCCATGAGCCAAGGAATGCAGGCAGCCTATAGAAAGTTAAAGGAAATAGTCTTCCCTAGAGCCTCCAGAACAAATACAGCCCTGCCAACACCTTGATTTTAGCCTACTGAGACTGATTTTGAGCTTTTGGCCTCCAGAACTGTAAAAATAATAAATTTGCATTGTTTTAACACAGTAGGTTTTTGATAATTTGTTATAGCAGCAACAAGAAAATAACACACATGGTTTCTGACAAGAAATTTGTTGTAATTCTTATCTTTGTTCTTTCTTAGATAAAGTGGTTTCTTCCTTCACCTCTTTCAAGATTCTTCTCTGTTTTTCTGCAGTCTGAATATGATATTCCTAGGTATAGTTTTATGAAAATCTGTTCTACATGGTGTTCTTAAAGATCTGTAGTTTTGTTAGAGCTTTTGAAATTGTCCCCCAGTTCTTGGATGTTCCATTCTGGGGTTGCTTTTTTTTTTTTTTTTTTTTTTTTTTTTTCACTTTTTGTCTTCTTGCACTTTAGGAAGTTTCTATTTACTCTTCTCCAAGCTCCCTGATTCCTTCCTTGGCTGTATCCAGTCTATTAATTAGCTCATCAAAGGCATTCTTCATTTTAGTTCTGTGGGCTTTTCTTTCTTTCTTTTTCATTTATAGCATTTCCCTTTGATTCTTTCTTAGAATTTCCACCTTTCTGCTGACATTGCCCATCTGTTACTGCATGTTGTCTACTTTTTCCACTAGAACCCTTAACATTTTAATTGTAGTTCTTTTAAATTTCTTGCCTGATGATTCTAACCCCTGTTATATCTGAATATGATGCTTGCTTTGTCTCTTCACTCTCTTCTTTCTTGCTTCTTGATGTGCCAGAAGCATCAAATTCCTCAAACATCCTATCCTTGCTTTTGTCTCCTGTCTTTATTTATTTAGCTAGTTAGTTTGTGTGTGGCGGGGAGGGGGTGGAGGACGACAGAGGTAATTAGGTTTATTTATTTATTTTTAGAGGAGGTAGTGGGGACTGAACCTAGGACCTCACGAATGCTAAACATGCACTCTACCACTTGAGCTATACCCTCCCTGCTCCTGTCTATATTTTTGTGTTTACCTAAGTACTACTCTTCAGAGTGAGTCTGTGCCATGCAGCTGTTTCAGCCGTAATCCATCATTACTACACTGGAGCCCTAGTAGTACGCAGCAAGTTCTCAGGAAATGGAAGAGTGTTTTATAATCTTCCCATTACATCTCACTGTTTTTGTGGGTTTGTGTTTCAGGACTATTATCTTTACAACTGTTTCTTCTTATATAGCTTTAGGTGCGAAAAGAAGACCAGAGGGCGCTGGAGTTGGCAAAGTATCCTCATGACTCTCTTACAAGATTCTGGGAGAGTCTTTCCCATCTGGAGAGAAGGCTGTTGTTTCTAAAGATAGTTCACAAAGTTTACTCTTCCCCTTCCCCTGCCATAGCCACAGGGAAATCTTTCTCAGATCTTTACCGCTTGAATCTGGGAGGGTTCCTGTAAGTAAATCCCACAAAAGTGTGGGGAAGCCCTAACCCTTCAGCTCTCAGTAGTTTCTCACTCTCATTCCAGTCTACCCTCAGCCTCCAGCAATTCAAAATGACTATTTAAGTGTTCTTACAGCTTAATGGTTCCCGTGGATACTGCTCCCTATAAGCAGATTTTGTCTGTGACTCTCTAGATTTGCCCATTCCTCAAGACTTAGTGGTGGCAATTTGTCCTGCAACTTCAGTTCTCTTCTGAGACTGAGAAAAGTTATCAATTTTTTAAACCTTATTGCTTTGGAAGCCTCAGACACCCAACCATCTCTGTCCTTGACACTCACAATCTTTCCCCCACTGTGCACCCCAAAGCCAGTAGAATTAATCTCATATCCATTATCCTTGTTTATGTCAGTGATCATGAGAAGTCCCAGACTCAAAACACATCCATTTGTACATTCCCTTTTATGATCTCCCCGACTGCCCCTACTCATTGGATCTGGAATACACAGTCCTGTACTAACCAAATTCATCCTATTCTCGACTTGCTCATACTCCGAAGATAAGCTGATTTTCCCCTAAAAATCTGCTTCCCTTACAGCCCTGTCAGGTGGTGGCTGTTACCTCTCTCATCTTCTGGGCCCAGAGGCAGGGCAGATATCCTTTCATGTAAACACTTCTTTGCCCTCCATCAGCAAACTTGATATACTCTTCCTCTTCTTAACCAGCTTAAAATTCATTACCAATTCCCTAACCCTTATAAGCGCATCCTTGTACAGCCCCAAGACTTCCTTGTCCTCACTCTCCCTATCCTACTTGCTTGGCCAAATCAAAGTCTGCTAAATGTAACTGTCTGCCTACTCCATATCTTCACCCACAACTTGATATGGATGGAGACACTCAACTATATCAACTGGTGCCCCATAACTTCATGACGTTGGGCCTCAAGTGGGCCCTTCAAGCTGCTTGCAACCTACATTGCACTGTCCTGATCTATCCACTCTTCTGCCTCCAACTCCTCTTCCCTGAACCTCACTCTCAGCTTTCCATTTCACTGAGAAAACTAAACCACCAATTTAAATTTCCGAATGTTCTCACCACCACGTTTACTCAACTACCAACATCAGAACACACATAATCTACTTTTCTATCTGTTAACAAAGGTAAACTTTCTGTGCACCTGCTTAAAGTCAATTCCTCCTGCGTCCTCCATTCACCTCTCTCTTACTCATGAAAATACTCTGTGGTTCCTTCCCCTCTCTCCTATGTCATCTATTATTTTTCTCTTGAATCACTTACATCAATATATAAGCATACTATTTCCTCTCCCATCTTAAAAGCAACAACTAAAAAATTGTAAAATTTCTTTTGGTCTCTTATCCTGACAGCTACCCCTTTCTTTGTACTCCTTTGCAAAAACAAACAAAAACTTCTAAAAAGAGTTATGCATGTTTTTTGTCTCAAATGTCTCTCTTAATCCCCTTCTAATCAGGGTTTCATCGTCATCCTACATCAGAACTGCTCTTGTCCAAGTTCACCAATGGTCTCCACGTTGTTAAATTCAGTGTTGAGTTCTCAGTCCTCATCTGACTAGATTTAACTACATTTAACACAGTTTGTTCCTAAAACGCTTTCTTTACTTGGCTTTCAGAACATCCCATGTTTTAGGTTGTCCTCTTATTTCACTGGCCATTTCTTTTCAGCCTTTTTCATTGGTCTTGCCCTAACCTCTTAACGATAGCATGCCTTAAGACTGAATCTTTTGCTTTTCTTCTCTTCTCTGTGTAAACTCATGACCTTCATGAGTTCAACTGGTATTAGGTCTTTAAATACCTGCTATACCCTCAGCTCCTACATTTATGTCAACTGTCCTGAGCTCTCTCTCAAATCCAGACCTAATCTACCTAATTGCCTACTCATCATCTCCACTCTGAAATCTGATGGGCTCCTTCAACTTAGTGTTCAAAACTGAATTTCGGATTTTCCACCCAAAACCTGCTCTCTCCAGTTTTCCCCATCTCATCTGATGACAACTTCATCTTTTTATCTGCTCAGCTAAAAAGTTAGTTATTCTTGACTCATTTTGCTCCAACCACACTGGTCTGCTGGCTCTTCTTCTGTCATTCATGACAAGTTTCCACTTAAGAGCCTTTGCAAAAATGTTCCTTTTGCCTAGAATCCTCCCTTACCTCTTATAAGTACTTCCTCAAATGTTATCTCTTCAATGTAGCCAACTATAATAATCACTCCATTTAAACCTCTGGCCCATTTGCTCTAGCCTACTTGTAGTTTTCTCAGTTCTCCCATTCTACTTTATTTTTATCCCATAGCATCTATCACCATCTAACATACCATGTGGTTTACTAACATATTTTGTATTTTGTTTATTATCTGTCTCCCCCTTACTAAATTCTAAATTCCCCAAGGGAAGGGATTCTTGTTGGTTTTGTTCACAAATACATCTCAAGTGCCTAGAACAGCCCCAAGCACATAGTACTTGCCCTAGTAAATATTTCTCAAGTGAAAGAATAAATTCTCATCACAGTATTATGAGGACAGCATAATTATTCTTCTTTATCAAATGAGGAAACTAAAGCTTAGAGAATATAGAGGTCACACAACTTGGCAGGACCAAGATTCAATCCGGGTCTCTCTCCCTAGAGTTCACACTCATTATTCCATACCCAGTGGTGTTTGCCCAAAGTGGACAGAAAAGATGGGGGAATACCAAGATGAAAGATGCAACAGGGAGTTGAGGGAGGAAATAGAAATAAATCTTTGCATGCCAAACAATTTGGATTACTTTCCACAGCAGAAGCTATGAAGTAAAAGGTGACATAATTAAATCTATATTTTGGAAGGATAACTCAAACAGCTACCAAATGGAGCAGTGGAAGCCAACAAATTGCCTGGGGAGAGAAATGCCACTTTTAATGGGCTTAATCCAATTCAACTATTTCCACAGCTAAAAATGACTCTCCTCCTACTAATTCATTAGTCATTTAACCCAGTCCTCACTTAGAAAAAGTCTGACACAGCATTAATTATAAAATGATACTTTATTCATATATATTGCATATTGATAAACTCAACAAATGTATTACTTTCCATTTGGGTGCAATCACAGTTATCAGCAATATTCTGAAGTACTAGGCACAAGATGAGGTGAGATGCTGTTTTTATCAGGGGAACAAGTCATATCATCTGACACATTCAAGTCTGTTTGACATTCCATCAAAGCAGTGGCTCAGAATGCAGACATACTCTCAAACAGGGAGTAACTGTATGGCAACATTTCATTTATAAGCATTCATTATATCATCAAGTAATAAACACACAACCCACAGGGTCTTGCTTAGGTTGGCTGGCTGCCTAGTTGCCCCTGAGACAAAACCTTATAATCACATAGACTTGCCTAGTTAGTCAGGAAAAAAAGGGTCAAATGAAATTGTCACAGGATACAGGAATTATAAATAACACATATATTAATAGATACTCACTTTCATTACATAAAAGTTGCTATTATAAATACTTTGATGAGTCTAAATATATATTCCCCATATAAATAATGTAAAATATTAAATATTAATAAATAGATTTAGATTTAAAAATTCAAATATTGCCAGCAGGACGACCATTACTTCGACGCTCTCCGGCCTTGAATCAGATTCTGACGTCTCTTCCGCTTTCTTAGGTTAGATTTTGGTGACAGATCATTCATCACTTTGATGAGTTCACTTATGGCTTTGCGCTGGACCTTCAGGTTATCAACCTGTTGGGAAAGAAAACAGCAAAGTTAATTTCAGCCGTACAAGCCATCAGGATATTCTGCTGTCATTGCCCAAGAAAGGAAGTATTCCTTTAAAATAAATTATTTTCACTAGCAATATATTACCTTAATATGGAATGTTGGTTTCTTCAGTAATTAAGACTAATCTTATAATTAAATTTCTAGTTGTGCTGTAACATGGTGGGGCACATCACATATCCTTAAATTTACTGCTACAGAATTCTGAAAATTATATAGTGAAAAGACCCCTGAAGTGGAGCTACAAAAAATGTGGGTTTGAATCCTGTGTGCAATAAATCTGACTTTAAACTAGTCACTTAACCTCTTCAAATCTCTGTTTCTTTTCTAAATTATCTCTAGGTTCCCTACCACTTCTGTCACTTTGTACTTCATCTTTGCTGTATCAAAGGAGTTACTATAGATCAATGGCTCTCACCTTTGGTGTGTAGCAGAATAACCTGGAGACCTAATGAAGAACTCAGAGACCCAGGTGCATGGAATCGGAGTAGGCCTGGGCCATTGTGTAGTTACTAACATCACCAGGTAATTCAGACACCTCCGAAGTTTGAGAACCGCTGATACAGGTTCAGTACTTTGTAAACACCAAGTCCACAATGGATGAAACCCACATAATTTTAAACTTCCCTCTAGTTAGGTCAGTCTCATCCTTTCCATAATGAGATGAAAAATAAACTGATCGTATTTATTGGCAATAATCAATTACTAGTATATAACATTTAAAACTAGGAATTAAAGACAAATTTCCCTATACCCTGCCTTCCCTTCTAGCAAATTGACCTATTTTCTCATTCTAATCTAGATGAATTCATGCTTCATACAATGCCACTATATTTCTTTCTAAAGCTGGAAACACTCCTCCTTGCCACATTTCTGAGAATGAGTAGGAGATTCTAGACTATAGGACTAAAAGGCGTAACATGCCTTAAATATGTTAGCAATTGAGCAAAAAGTGGTTGACAGCTCACTCAAGATTGCCCATTGTGAAGCAGGAGGCTTGGAGCTTCCAGAAGGATGGGACCAACAGATTATTTTTTAAGGCCCAGTCACAGCAGAGTAGAAAAGTTTCTACCAGCTGAGTGTTCGCAAATTATAAATTTCACTTTCCAATGTTCAAAGCATCATCAAGAAACTAAGAGACTTATCCAAGACTGAATAGCAGGCCAGGGGCAGCACTGGGTTAGGAACAAGTGCTTTTTCATTCTCTGGCCTGCAGCCAATAGAGCTCTGCTTTGGAAAACATTACCAGCGGAAGTAGTAATGGTCTTATATTTGATAAGTCACTTTTATACCATCTAATGTACTGGAGACTAGAGAAATTTTGAAGAGCAAGCACTTATTTCAGTTCCCGGGAGCTGATAGGAGATTGGTGAGAGGCAGACCCAGTTAGAGTGAGAGCCAGGCACAAAGCTTGAGAGCACATCATGACGGGACCTCTCCTCTTCTAATCCAACCTGTTTATACCAAAGCCAACCCCAAAGGAATCTGAAGATTTTTATCTCTTAGATAAAATTGTGGAAAATGGGATTTGTCTTTATGCTTCAAAGTGATCTTTCAGCTTCTAGAAACCAAAACTTTAAAGATTCAAGACAATCTAATGACAAACCTTGGGAGCCCAAGGATTTCTCCAGCTGAGATGTTCTAGTATCCAAAAGTTGATAGGACAATTCTTTCCTAAGGTATAAAATCTACCTATTTTCTTTTCTAAAAAACAACACTCTCACCTCTACTTGGGCTACACAATATAAGAGGTTGACCAGAGCCTGGCAGTAGGAGGCCCTTTGCCTCTTCCTCCTAGCTCATTCTCACGGCATCAGAGAATTTTAGAGCAAAGGAGACCATACAAATTACAGTGAACCCAACAGTCTCCTTTTAAGATGAGGAAACTGAGCCCCAGCCAGGCGTGTGATTCATCTGAGGTCACACCTTTCTTTAGTAGCTGAGCTGGGAGGAGCATTGGTCTTTTCCCCCCTCCCACTGCTCTTTCCATTAAGACAGTTGCCTCCTATTCAAAGCAAGAGAATTTCCAACATACAAATAAGGGGCAATGGGAAAACTGCTTGTCAATACTCCCCTCAACTTTTTCACTATTTCTTTGTCACTGATTTTGTTCATTCACCTATATTTGTGCAGTAGGCATCATGCAAGTATTTTACCAAATCACAAGTTTAAGTGACTCCTGTAACTGACTTTGCAAAATTAGAACAGAACAGAATTGGCTGAGTTTTGGCCAAAGGATCATTTCATAGCTTTAACAATTGTACCAGTAGCTAATTCCTACTTTCTGGGAATTAAGTGCTTTGCAAGAGCCTCTGCAATGAAACCAAAGAAAGAATCAAGATTATCTCACCGGAATTTGAATCAGCTTTTTGAAGTCCTCTAGTTTCTCAGAGCTGCCATTTAAGAACTTCTGAAACATGTCTTGCTTGATGATATCCATGCTCCTTTGAATGATCTGGTTATCTTTTAAGTTTTCAAAGAGTTTGAAGTAGAAGGAGACAATCTGACTCTGAATTATTTTTTTGTCACTCTCCTTGGGAGAAAAGAGTACAAAGAAAGGTTAATGGAAATTATCCATCAGAAAATAAACAACAGGAAAATCAGCTAAATGGAAATATTCATCTTACCTCTTTCCAATTCTTCAAAATTTCTAAGAAAAGAGGCCCACCATCTGCTACATCTGGATGACTTGCATTCTGGGGGGAAAAAAAGAACAGGAAAAATTGGTTTACAGTTAGTCCATAAATTGCCATAAAAATTACAAGTTGTATTGAACTCAGATACTGACAATATTCACAGATATTCTTTCCAATCCTCTGTTCGGTTCTAACAATAAGTATTCTCAAAAGCTATTATGTTGGATATAGCCAAATACTATCATGCTATTTTAGCTTTCTTATTTTCTAATATAACTCTTAAATTGCAACATCACAAATTAACTTAACACGACTGAGGATACTTCAATTGTCCAAAATAACTATAATAAGGAAAGGAAAGTATTTTTAAACCTAGTAAAAAAAAAAAAATCAACAAAGCCATCTCACTATAAAGTACTGCCCCCCTATGGTACAGGTTTCTATAACCTCTACCTGTGCCTTCCTATAAGGTATTATGCCTGCTTTAAAAGATAGCTCCAGTTATAATTATAATAGCTAAATTTTGGACATTTAATATAATATTTTAAATGCAAAAATTATTTTAATTAACCATAAATAAAATTTTTAAAAAACTCTTAAAACAGAATTTTTAAACTATAAGCCAGATTATAACTCCTACAAAAAAAAATCTCAGCAAATGACTGAGTCCAAGAGTAACTCACATATAATATGGATGGGGCAGTAGAATTTTTAAACCACTTTTCTGGAGAAAAACACCTGTAAGTGATTTTTTTTTAAGTCAAAGTTTAAGGACCTCACCTTGTTTAATTGATCAATTATTTCAGATTACCATTTTTAATGCTAATCTTGACCTTTTAATGATGTCACCATCGTAGTAGCCTGAGAAATCAGAAACTAATATCCAGTCATTTTTTTCAGTAGCTTACTACTTGACATCGTAACTGACTAGATTCTCAAAATTATCAATTCTATCACTTATACTCATATTATGCCCATCTTTTGGAGGATTCGTAAATCCCCCCTAAGTCTCTATAGCAAATTGAGCAGAGAGTTAAAGCAATACCTACATTGTTTTCAAACAAAACAGAACAAACCAAAACCCATCCAGCCAACATTCACGAGAACACCAAGTCTTCTCAAAATGACTGTGGACTAGAGATAACAGCCCATCATAGTTACAATTTCAAGGCAACATTCAGTCACTTCAACCACAAGCAAGTATTATTAAAAGGTCATACTTACAAAATATTTCTTTAGGTTTTCTATTTCATCAAAAAATGGGGCCTGGCAGTAACAACCAGAAGAACCCAAGATCACGCAAAGCTGAAAAGCCAAAATATAACTTGTATAATTCATCGTTTCAGAGAAGAGTTAGGCCAAAGTAGTTGAAATTTGTAGCTCCTGTATTAAGTCGATCAGGTCCACAGGACTTAGCTGCTCTTCTTTTCTATTAGCTGATCTTCAGATGATCAGAAGAATGTACTGTGTCTCCTTCTGCTGCTGATATTTATACCTCATTGAAGTCTCATCAAGATTACGTATTTTCACAAGTTTTTTAAGATGAGATGGTGGCAGATAGACAGAGATGCTAGTTAGTTGGTATTAATAACTATGGTTTTGTGGCATTTGGGTGTTGTAGTTAGAATTTCCTTTCAACTCCTTGGGTCTTCTGACGAAGGGACAGACCAATTATGCCCACCTGTGCCATTCTTGTGGGATCCTTTGAAAGCACTTTCACTTCACACCATCCAGGGATTGGAAATTTCTGTCACCTCCTCCCTCTACCTTTGTAAAATGTTGACTCCTCATCCAGAGATTACATTGATCATTTGTTTGCGGTCGGAAGCAAGTAAAAAAGGAAATTCTAGGGGCTCTCAAACCTTTACAGAGGGGGAGCCTCTTAAAATTTTTCTTGCAAATGACCAGAAAGCAAGGAAAGAATGTGGTTAAAAGACTGATGTGGTAGGAAGCCCTTCATCAAAGATGGTTAGTGTAACGACCACAACTTTACATTGCTCTGACCAACACCCTCCCAATAGAAATATAATGCAAGCCAATTTTCTAATAGCCCCATTACTAAAAGTAAAAAGAAACAGGTACAAACAATTTTAAAATATGTTGTACTTAAACCAATATACCCAAAATATCATTTCAATATGGATCAATACACAAAATTATTAATAAAATATTGTACATGCTTTGTGACATACTAAATCCTAGAAATCTGGTGTGCATTTTATACCTACAGCCCATCTCAATTTGGACTAGTCACATTTCAGATGCTCAAGAGCCAGGAGGCTACCATACTGAACAGCATAGCTCTAGACAATCAATTGTTCCAAATAATCACTAATAATAAAGATTCTTTTTATACTTTTATTTCTTTTCTTTTTAATACAAAAAATAGGATTATTTTCCCTCCTCCTTTAGTAATTTATTTATGAAATACAACACTGAAGGATGGCACAGAAGACCCTCCACTATTTGGTTCCAGCTCCCCTTGAATTTCAAACTATAATGCATGCACCGGAGGACTGTAGTTATGAATGCAGACTAGAATCCCAGCTCCACTACTATTTAGCTCTGTGATTTTGAGTAAGCTTCTTAACTCTTTCCTTATATTTAGAATGAGCCTAATATTAGTATCTCCTTCAGGGCTTCAGTTGAAAATTCAGTCGGATACATATATATATATATGTATATATATACATATATATATATATATAAAGTGCTAAGAATTTTGCCTGTCATGTAGTAAGCACTCAATAAAAGTGATCTATTGCAATCCAGGCATGTTGGACGACTGGTCATTCCTAAAAAATACACCCTGAACCTTTGCTCATGCCGTTCCTTTCTTTCTTGATTTCCTGCATCTGTACCTCCCAGAGTGGTACCCATCCATCCAAGACCAGCCTAAAGATCCTTATCTCCATGAGTTCTCTCAAAATTATCCCTCTTAAAAGTAATCTCACATTCTCTACACAGGCCTAGGAAAGAGGTTCACACTATCCTTAGAGTCCTGATTCCTCATTCTCATATTAGAGTTGGTTACTCATGTGTCTTCCCCCATATTAGAGTGAGTTCCTTAAAATCAGAAATTGTTTCCTTGTTTCTGTAACACCCTTCTCTTTCCTAAAACCATTTTAGTGTGGAGATTTGTCCATAGGCAGCACTGACTAAAAGTGAATTTGAATGCTTAATTAAGGACCTACTTTTCCCTCAAGCTCTAATCAATCCCAATGCTATCAGAACTACCTGTAGGAAATGCATTTTTAATTAAAGAGTTCATGATTAATGTTGCAAACATGATGCTATGTCTCTCTAGCCAACTCCTGCTTAGTGGAACAATTCCAATGTATTTTTTTATGTGAAAAAGGCCAGAAAATTCTTTGAGGGGCTATCTTCCCAAAGGATAAACAAGATCAAAATGTATTTGTGGGACCAAAGCCTCATGCTAAGCAAGCGAAAAGCGTGGAAATTACACTGCTGCCCACAAAGCTCTACTGAATTTCTCCTCAAGCTAACATAAGGCCCAGATAATGTGCTTACAGAGTGACACAGTGACAAGAAGCCATTTTCAAAGCCTTCAGACCACTGCAGGCGCTGAGTACTATCCAGGAAACCTACAACCAAACTCCAAGTTATTGGAAGGAATATTAACAACTTTCTGGAAAGAAGAAAAATTTGTTCTGCCCATTTGTTGATATATCTACTGATATTGGGACTGAGGAGTTAAAAATAGTGGATCCATAATTAGGAATTATATATTGTCTGAGGGTTAGTAAATTGCAAATACCTATTCAAAAATAGAGACGTATATTAAGAATATGTTTACAACATGGCCAGATGTTTCAGATTAGTAAACACACGGCTAAAATTTAAGCTCTAATAACTCTTATTGGAATGACCAAGCACAGTGTAGAATTAGGGAATTATAGAGATTACCTGTGGCCTACTCTCTCATTTTTTAGATTTGTAAGTCAAGACCAGAAAAAAACAAATTACTGTGCTTAAGTTGATTCCACTGGACAATAGAGAGCAAAGTCTAGAACCAAGACTTTTCCCCTAATCTACCCATCCCCAATTAATAGCCATTAAAATTACTGTTTGTGCCAATAACTGTGTTTGATAGGTGTATTAAAATAATTACATCTTATCAGGCTTTGATTTCTGGAATTTTTTTCTGTAGAATTGATGAGATAATAGGTCACTCTTGAACTCCTTAAAAAAAAAAAAAGACTGCAAATTAAAGTTTTGAAATGATTGGTTAGACGTCCCAGAGGGCCCATCTTCGTGGATATGAGACCTGTATGGTCTACCAGGACCCCACACTTGGAACAGCCCACATTTGGCTTAATGCTCTGTTGTTACTTTGTTGAAATTCCTAATAATTTTTTAACAAGGGACTCCCATTTTCATTTTGCACTGCAGATTCTGTAACTGGTCCTGCATCCCAGGCTGGAAGTCAATCACATACTACGAAATTTTATCTTTCAATATGTGATTTTCTTGGTTCAGAATGTTGTCACCACAATCATATATTCTATTATGATCTTTTCCTGTCTTGTCAACTTTACCAAAGAAGATGTTTCTCTCTCTTTTCTGCCTGTAAAACACCTCATGTTGCAAATGCAAACTAGAGGTTTCACACTTCGTTGGCTCAGGCAACACTGAGACTGCACAGTAATTCACCACCAAGATGTCCTTTATAAGTTTTGCAAACCCACCAGGAGCCAAAGTGTGACTGAATTGCTAACACAAAAGGACTGAAAACTTTCTTTTTTCTTTTCAGCTAGACTTCTTTCTGAAAACTGGCTATGGTTATGCATTAAGCGTCAGCAAGATTTTTGATCGTGCTATCCTCAGTCTTCACTGAGTAGGTAGTCGTAAGACAAAACTTACACCTTGGTTGCCGTTTTTCCTTTGTGGTCAGCAGTCATATCCCTAGTACTCACAACCGAATTATCTCATCCAGACTTTGGTGTAGATTTCTTCCACCAAGTATGAGTCAACATTGGATCCAGACCCACGCTGTTTTGACTCCTGGAACTCCTGACCTCACGCAAGCCGAGCCTACGGAAGAAAATGGTAGACAGAATGGAAGTCCACGCGGAGTCAGATTTTCCCCGAAATTTGACTCAGAAATCATACATGTTAGAGGAGAGTTTTCTGAATCCCCCTTTTTCTTTCATGCCATCTTGGGCAACTCTGAGGGTTGATTCAAAGACTATGGAAGATATTATACTTATTTAGTACAGTCACCAGCTTATAATGGTATCAATTTTATGTCAGATGTGATTGTACACTGACAATCTAGGGATTCATGGTCATGCTTTGAAGGTCGTATTATTTTTATTCCACAAGGAATTTAAAAGCATTTGCTAAGTGCTGAGTACTATGCTAGACGCAGGTTTACCGAAGAAGGATGGGATAGTTCTGTTGTGAAAATATTTTTGTTTATATTCTAAGTTCAGGCAATGAGTAAGTCTTTACTGAGCACCTACTCCATGCTTATAGCTTTAGAGATTACAAAGAAGTTAACAGTGAGACAATCTGGCAGGAATATGTGTCACCACATTGGTAGCTAGGATTGATTTCACTGTTCTGATTACTAGGTAGGTATCCATATTCTTCCTTTATTCTCCATATATGTACATCCTTCCCAGAGGCTTTGAACAATGAGAGAGAAAAACCCATATCTAACATACGCATCATATTCCTTCCTCCTATACCCATGGCAGGAGTCTAGTTAGTCACGGCATTCTTTCTTACTAAGTTTAGATGTAGCCTCTGAATCCTTTTTAACACTGAAGTCTACCTATTTATTGGTGTTTCATTATCTATTTGTCCTCTTGGGGCAAAAGTTTACTTGTTGCTCTGCCTCTTAGAAAGAGTTCTTACAAATTACAAAGAAGTAAAAGATATAATCTCTTCCTCCAACATTAGTACTAGGGAAAAAAACATTACAATTGATGAAGAAATATACAGTAAAGACCTTTGGCCTAAGAGGAAGGAAATTCTGGTCCTAGAATCTACTGGTATGATGTGGGATTTTGAGCAAAGCCTTTACTCATGCCTTATATCTCAGCTGCAACATCTTAAAAAGAAGAGCTGGACCCAATGAACTGTTTCCTTCTGTTTCTAACATTCTGTTTCTATGATTGTGATTTATGAGGAATATAAGATATTACTGAGACCTAATGTTAAATGAGGTAGAGATCCCAAAAGACTTGGGAATTCAAGGAGTAATACAGTCCTGGGGGATTGGTTCCAGGACCTTAGTCGGTAACAAAATCCATGAATGCTCAAGTCCATTCTATAAAATGGCATAATATGGTGGGCCCTCCATATCTGTAGGTCCACATCTGCACAGTCAACCAACTTCCATGAAAATAGAGTGACAACTGTAATTTTCTGAAAGATGGAAAAGTTGAGGAATTTCATGAGTGGCTTGAATTTTTATTTCAGTTGAATTTGAGCTTTTAATCTTCATTTAATTTTCATCAAGCCTTGAAAGGTATGTAGAATCTGTAAGGTCAAATGTCAAGTTCACCATTTGTACTTCATCCTGCTGGCCATGTGCTTTTTTCCCAATGATCTCAGAAAGTGAGTTGTCCTCTGGGTGACCCCTGAAATGGCACTAAGTTTTGAGAACATGCATCCAAAGGACACTTATCCTTCTATCACCCAACATAAAAGTTTCATACAGCAGACTGGCAGATTTAAATTTTCCCGTGACTACCTGGAAGAGGAATTTTGAAACCATAATCATCCAATGAATAATTATAAGCCAGAGTTTGATAAGTCATTATTACTGCATCCCTAATCCCTGAACCAATTCATTAAATACCTGAACCAAATTCCCATCTACTAGTTTTTCAAATGGAAATAGTTTTTAATGGTTATAAAATTACATGAGATCTTTTAACTAAAAAATCAGACTATCTGGAAGAGCACAAGAAAAGAAAAAAGTCATCTTTGATTTCACTATCCATAAGTAAACACTATTAGCATTTTGACCCAAATT